GGAGAGGAGAGCAGGCGGCTCTGGGACTTTCAGCACAGTTGAACGACTGGGGCTAGGGTGGAAATAATTTTCATAAAGGAGAGAGGACACAGTTTTATTGAATTCACACACACAGCACTTCAACACTCACACTTTATTATTATTTTTTCTTTAATTTGCCAGAGGGTGTATGTGCTTGCCAGAGAGACAGAGAGGGAGCTAGAGGAGAAAGCACCCCACAATGGGACGGGGTGATACTGCGACCCCTTCTCCTTCGTGTCTTCATTTGGGGCATGGAGACAGTCATACCCAGCATTTCCAAGTGCTGGAGCCAGGATTTAAACTGCACAGTTGGCCATTGGCTCCCTTAACCACCAGGCCACGGAGATGGCCCAACACTAGCAAGTTTCATGTCATTTTTTGGTGTTGTAAATTCTCTTTGAGAGCAGAATCATCTGCTTTTTGCTATTCTCCTGAAAGCCAGCACCATTCAGGGCATGAGGAAATACTAGTGACTAGCCAGAGGAATGTCTGTGTATATTTAAAAATTATCTTTTTAATTTAAATAAACTGAAAAATTCACTAGAAAACCTGATTTTGTGCTACATCATAATTTCCTGGTTAATTTTGTTGTTGTTCCGAATTTTATTATTATTATTATTATTATTTTTTTAATTTGTTTATAGCAATTAACATTATTGTAATCTTTAAAATGTTATTTATAAACCGTGGAAAATACAGAAATGTATAAGAATGAGAATAAAATGCCTACGTGGTGTTTTAAAGGTGGATTTTCTCACAAATAACTTCCGTTAATGTCACTATTCAGGGATTCTGTTTTCCCATCCTTCTGTCTTCTCCCTTTAGGAAAGAACCGTTGGAGAAATGTACCAGGACATTTGGTTTTTCCGAGAATGTGTCACATAATCACTGATATGTCTGAAACACAATATATTCCAGTCACCCTGCCCTGGCCTCCCTAGAGTCACTTCAGCCAGTGGATGGTTTTTAGGGTGTGTTAGTTATTTTTCCTGGGAATAAAAGCATTTTGTTTATTGGGTCTGCCCCACAGCAGCATGGGTAAGCACTGTCTGGAGTGAACTGCTCTCACTTGGCTGACTTTGGTTTGAATCTCAGTCCTGATGGCTTGAAAACTACACTAGGGCCTGTGTGAGCACATGTCTAGGGCCTGGGTGAGCATGTGTCCAGGGCCTGTGTGAGCACGTGTCCAGGGCCTGGGTGAACACATGTCCAGGGCCTGGGTGAGCATGTGACCAGGGCCTGTGTGAGCACGTGTCCAGGGTGCCTATGGGGTTGAGGAGTGGAAGGGGGATTGTAACCTGACCATGCCCCACTTGAGGATGACTTTTCTTGCTCTATTTTGCATACATCCCCTTTGGCTTAAAAAAAAAAAAAAGTTTGTTACCTCTTAGTCCAAATATTGTGTGAAAAATGATACTAATCTTTTAAATCTCCAAAAACATGGTGGGTTAAGAATCTGTTATGAGGTTTTGATTCGATTACTCTTTAGTTGAACATCTTATATAGTTAGTGACGTGGGTATTTCTTCTGGGAATAGCCTAATAACCTCCATTGCCTTATTTGTTGGTTGTATTGTTTTTAACTAAAATATGATAATAATAAATTTTGATATATTTTAAAAATAATTATTTATTTTATTTTATTTATTCATTCATTTATTATTATTATTTTTTAATTTGACCAGAGAGAGACAGAGGGTAAGAGTGAGAGAGAGAGGAAATGAGAAAGCCAGCCACCAGATTCAGGATTCAAACCCTGGTCAGCCATGTGGGACTGTCCAGCGCCTTAACCAACACGCCACCTACTGGTCCCCAATAATAATTTATTATTATTGTTTATTTCTAGAGTTGTTTTCTTTCTTTCTTTCTTTCTTTCTTTCTTTCTTTCTTTCTTTCTTTCTTTCTTTCTGTATGTATGTATGTATGTATGTATTTTAATTTGCCAGTGAGTACATGTGCTCACCAAGGGGGAAGAGAGAGTATGAGAGTGAGCTTGAAACCCCTGCCCCCATGGGCCATGGTCATGCTACCATCCCTTCTCCTCCGTCTCTGTCTCCCTTCGGGTGTTCCCTATCTTGCCATAGGGCAGTGCCACGATGCCCCTGTGTTTCCTAACTTGTTCAGGAAATCTTGTTACATCCAAGGTTAAATGATAACAACTTGTGTTCCTTTTTCTTTTAATCTAAAGTAACTTTTTCTTTCTTTCCTTCCCTCCTCTCCTCTCCTCTCCCCTTTCTTCCTGTCTCCTCTCCTTGCCTCCCTTTTCCTTATTTAAGTTTTGAAACCTTCTGGATTTCATTTTTATTTCTGTTATGAGTTTGGTATCAATTATATATTCTCCGCTACTAGTCCCAGGTTTCCTCATTCCTGATCCTGGCTCACTGTACTGCCCGCATTGAAATGTGCTTTCATAGATCTTTTTATTCCCGACATTTATTTAAGGGCGAAACCCTACCTTTCCCTAAGCTCTCCTGTCTGGCTTCCCTGTGAGTGCATCCCTCAGCCTGTTTCCTCCAGTCCTCTCTCACTCTCCAGCCCAGTCTCAGTGATCTCTAAGTCAAATGACATATTTGCTTTAATCTCGTTACTTTAATCTCTTTACGCTAGAGCAGGGTCTACGAGCTTTTTTCATAAAGGGCCAGATAGTAAATACTGTAGACTTGGCAACTACTCAACTGCACTGTCACAGCTCCAGTGCAGCAAGCACTCTTGTCTTGATATTTTCCAACCATTTAACCAATGTAAAAACTACCCTTAGCTGAGAGACCATGTGAAAACCAGTGGTGTGCTGGGTTTTCTGGTTCATAGTTTGCTGACACATAGTCGAAGGTCACCAGTTAGGGCTTCTTTTTTTTTTTTTTTTTAAAGAGATTTTTCTATAGGACACATGCATTCATGAGAGAGACAGAAAGCAAGAAATCAATCCCCAGGGGGATGGCCACACTGCAATCCCTTCTTCTCCATTTTCCTCTCAGGATTTTGGGTAGGCACCCGATGTGAGTTAAAGCCACCTGGTTCAGGACTTGAACCACAGTTGACTATATGGGAGTCCAGCAACATAACTATTATACCATCTGCTGGTTCCCCTTAGATCCTCTTTTTAAAAAGGAGCCACAGGTCTTAGACACACAACTCCAAGAAGTCTCCTTCTTTGAACTGATATTAGTATATACATTAGCATATTTAAAACAACATATTTTAATTACTGAGGTTTCCCATTCCCTGCCTTGGCAGTTGAGGGAATTACTTGTACATGATGTTTTGTTGTTGTTGTTGTTTTTTAAAGAATTATTTATTTAATTTTATTTATTATTATTATTATCTTAATTTGTTATAGGGCGCATGCACTCTCCAAGGAGAGACAGTGAGAGAGAGAGACAGAGAAAGCGCAAAAGCAAGCTGCCAATTCCGGAACTTAAACTGTAGTCAGCTATGTGGGAGTCTAGCGCCCCAACCACCATGCCACCTGTAGGCCTCCCATTGTTGAGTCTTATTTTCTGTGGAGGTTAACTAAATTAGGCTTATTTACTTTAGTGCAAATGTTGTATGAGCTCATTTTCTTTGGGAGAGAACACGGGGTTATTATAATAACCTTTAAAACAGTAGAATTTCTTCACACCTTGTAGACCACTATTGCAAAGTCATGCAGGCTTAAAAAATACTTTTCTGGGAACTGTGGTGGTTCAGGTGGGAGGGTGCCACTGCATGGTGACTGAGGCCCCATGGGAAGCCTGAGTTCAGTTCCTGGCCCAACCTAAACGGGCCTTATATGGCGGTGCATGCCTGTGGTCTTAGCTGTTGGGAGGCTGGAGCAGGTGGATCACAACATGGTGAGACTTTGTCAAAGATACCTCTCGCTCTCTTTCCCCCTGAGTTATGTCTCTCTTTCTCATTTAACAAAAATTTGGGGGAGGATCAGGTTCCACGGCCTAATGATTATGGGAGTCCCATGTGACTGGCCACACTTCAGATTCCTCGAGAAACATGCTAGGTGTGTTTTTGTGTCTGTGCCTAAAATCCCGACAGTATGGAGAAATGAAGAAGAGATTGTAGCATGACTGCACCATAGTGGATGTGTTTTCTCCCTCTTCCTCTTCTTGTCCCTCTCTCTCTGGCAAGTACACATGCACCCTGGCAATTAAAAACAGGAAAAGAGGGACCAGCAGATGGCATAATGGCTATATCCTTAGACTCCCATGCAATCAACTATGGTTTGAGTTCCGGACCCGGTAGCTTAAACTCATGCTGGGCATGTGTGTGTGTGTGTGTGTGTGTGTGTGTCCAAGATCCTGAGAGGAGAATGGAGGAGAAGGGATTGCAGTGTGGCCATCCCCCCCAGGGGGTGATTTCTCACTTTCTGTCTCTGTCACTCTCCATCCTTCTGGCGAGTGCATGCGCCCTATAGCAAAACCTCTCAAAAAAAAAAAAAAAAAGAAAGAAAGAAAGAAAGGAAAAGATAAAAAAAGAAGAAAGGAAAACAAAAGGAAGCTAAGTGTTGGAAAATTCATATCAGTCTTAAAATTCTTATAGCAGATGGTGTGATGCTTACATCACTGGACTCCCACATAGTTGAACGCTGTTGAGTCTTAGGCCTAGTGGCTTAAAACTGATGCCGGTATGTGTGCGTGCATGCCCAGAATTCCTAGAGGAGAAGGGGTTGTAGCATGGCCATCCCTTCGCAGGGGATGATTTCTCACTTTCTGTCTCTGTCTCTCTGGCAAGTGCATGTGCCCTATAGCAAAAATCTCTCTTAAACAAACAAACAAACAAACACACAAAAAACTCCCAAAACCCAAACTCTTACAGCAGTGGAAAATGTAAAGAACAACAATAAAAAAGACTTCCAGAAAATTATGCATGATCTATGGAAAGAATTGTAAAGTGGGGATTAATAATTATGCTTTTACCAGGGGCAGTAGTGATACTCAGACCAACCTTGAGTGTCTAATCCAGATTTATTCTGCTCTTCTGTTTATGCAGTGGTATTGCCAAGGCATGGAATCAGGCATATTTTGGGGAAGGATCTGGCCCAGTCATGTTGGATGAAGTACGGTGCACTGGGAATGAGCTTTCCATTGACCAATGTCCAAAGAGTTCCTGGGGAGAGCATAACTGCGGTCATAAAGAAGATGCTGGAGTGTCTTGTATTCCTCTAACGGGTAAGGATTTCAGTCCATTCCTACACCCACTCTTACCTCAGTCACCATTCAGGCAAGCCACGGCTTCCCTTTGCCTCAGTTTAGATAATGTTACCAAATGGCCATACAAATAAATCTCCCAAATAAAACAACTGAAAAACTAACACAAATCCTATAATAAAGTGCTACCTCCTTACTCAGATATTTCTGAATTTTTCAATTTAAGGCTATAGAGTTCTATAAAGCTAGATCAGAAATTCTGATTTAGTTGCCTGTGTAGTACCCAATAATGAAAATCAGGGTGCCATGATACGTTTCAGATATCAGCTGTTACAATAATGTCTTCAGTCCACGCATCTATTTACCTGTTTTGACTCTCAGAATGTGATTTTAGCTGATAAAATTGTATTGATATGATTGTCGATTGAAGCATACTGTGAAAGAAATCAAGCTAACTTTGCTGTGCTCAGTTTTCAGATTATTCTAAATTGTAACATGCCTATCAAACTATGTTGTGTGTTATAAGAAAGGCATGTCTGAGTGCAAACTGATGTGTGTGTATGTACTTACATGACTTGGGGAAAGAAGAAGAAAATGAATGGGCAAGAGAAGCTGGGTCTTCACAAATCCATCATTTCTAAAAAGAACTTGAAAATATTGTATTTTTTAAATAAAGATCAAAAGAATAACTTCTTAGAACTTTTGAAATACTGAATTATATATATTTATTAACATATTTCCATACATGCTATTATTTTTGTTTGCAGAATAACACATTTACGCACAATAGACATATATAATTTATACCCAATTTTAAGCCAGAGCACTTTGTGATCTTAGGTTGTCAATTTCCTCTCTTTGAAACGAGGATGCTCTTACATAGTTGTCACAGTCATAATACTTTGCAGGCAGTAAGATATTATGCTAATAAGTGCTTCTGTTGCTAAGAGACCTTTATTTGCTTTCAAAGATCCCATAGACTTATGAAAAATATGACCTTTATCTGAGATTATTTTGATGGTTCATGTTTATGTTTCATTTATATGTTTTATATGGGGGCCTGGGGGAAGAAGTATTAGGATTATTTTGGATAGAGCTGGCTTTTAAATCTACTTTATGGAATTAAATTTATTGTACTGTTTCTGTTTAGAAGCTCTGTATAGAATTCTGTGGGAATTAATTATTCATTGAGTTAATAAGATTCAAATTCAGATCTGTATTATCACTACATGAACAAAGGCAAGACATGTGGTCTAGTTTTTATAATTCATGAATGCCCAAGGAATAATAAATGCATCGACATGATGGATGTTCCTTATCCATTACAGCTTTTTCTGTCTTCATATTTCAGCACTTTTTATTTGTAGCTAAGATTTTGTACTATGAACAAATTACTGTTTTTTTTTTACTTGCTAAATTTTAATAACTAGTATTGCCCAGACTCAAGGAGACTGAGTTATAGAAAATTTTCCAGATATTATTTCATCTAGAGATCTCTAACTAAATAATTTGGAATTATATCAGAATATATTTTTCTTCTCAGAAAATAGGAGTACAAGTAGAAAGGAGAGAATTTTTTTAAAATAATTATTTTATGGTACTTTATTTATTTATTTATTTTTAATTTGACCGGAGAGGGACAGAGGGAGAAAGAGAGAGAGAGAGAGTGAGAAAGCAAGCCACCGGGTCTAGGACTCAAACTAAGGTCAGCCAGTGCCCTTAACCACCATGCCACTTGTCACGCCTCCCCCCATTTTTTAAAAAGAATTATTTTACTGAACTTTATTTATTTATTTAAGGAGAGAATATTTTATTGGAACAGAATGTGTTATGCCAGGCTTTGGAAACAATGTACTGTCAGTCGTGGAGCAGTGTTATAGTGACAGTTAATCAAAGGCCATGAGGGAGACCTAAGTATGGTGATGTTTCTGGTCAAATAAAAATGTTGATTTCCTTTTTTTTTTTCGAGAGTTGATTTGCTTTGTTTCTGTGTTACCTTCTCATCACAGATGGAGTCATCAGACTTGCAGGTGGGAAAGGCAGCCAGGAGGGTCGCTTGGAGGTGTATTACCGAGGACAGTGGGGGACTGTCTGTGACGATGGCTGGACCGAGCTGAACACATACGTGGCTTGTCGACAGCTGGGATTTAAGTAAGGTCCATTGATATGAGGCAGCTCCATGCCAAACCATTTCTTTCAAAGTCCTAATTGTGTAATCCCTACTTGTAATTTCCATGATACTACAAACACGTTTTCTACTCTCTCTTTGCCTGCCCACCTCCATTCCTACCTATGTATGTGTGAAGCAAGAATCAATGACATTTTTTAAGAAGATGAATGACCATATCTTCTACTTGTCTCTTTTACCTTTCCTGCCACCACCCCTCTTCTTGAAGAATTAGCTTCAAGGGGTAAATTCTAGGTCCCTTTGTGCCTATTCAAGTAAGACTTTGAATGCTCGATTTTGTTCAAATGCATCCCTACTATTGGACATCTTAGTCTGACATCACTGTGTCTAAAAGTGCAGCTAGGTCCAGTGACAAATGCTTTGGTATTATATTATTCCCTTTCTCAGAATGTGATGATAAGTATCACTTTTATTTGAGAAAAACAGCCCTCTTGTCATGAGATGCCCTTTAGAACTGCCTTTGACCTCATTCACTTAAAAACCCAGTGTCACACTTTGGGTGATATATTTCATGTCACACATATAATGCATTCCAGCGTAAAGATAAAGTTGGTCAAAGCAACTGCAAATGATGCCTTTGAGCTATATGTTTAATGAAGTCCATGAATGCCCATTCTTTTCTGTTTTTCCTCTTTCTATGTCATACTTGAAGTCATTGTCTGATATTTGAAAAACTTGGCAACATTATTTCATGTCATTTGGAGATAGAGCTAATAGCAAAGATTTGCTAAGTCTTAAAAATATACTTTCATTCAAGCTAGGCAAAGCCATGTTTAAACATAGGTTTTCAAACTTATGAAAGTAATATAAAACAAAACTTGGGAAAGGAAGTAAAATTAGCTGTAATTTTTCCATTCTTGGCCCATCATTATTATAGCTTATGTGTATAAATCTTTATCAGCCCTACTTGTGGACATGTAATTTTAGTATCCACATTTTTTACCTTTCTACTGCTTAATAGTCATAAGTTTAAATGATAACAAATGAAAGGTTCATATCATCATTTACTTAATCTTCATATTTCAGCACTTTTTATTTGTAGCTAAGATTTTGTACTATGAACAAATTACTGTTTTTTTTTTACTTGCTAAATTTTAATAACTAGTATTGCCCAGACTCAAGGAGACTGAGTTATAGAAAATTTTCCAGATATTATTTCATCTAGAGATCTCTAACTAAATAATTTGGAATTATATCAGAATATATTTTTCTTCTCAGAAAATAGGAGTACAAGTAGAAAGGAGAGAATTTTTTTAAAATAATTATTTTATGGTACTTTATTTATTTATTTATTTTTAATTTGACCGGAGAGGGACAGAGGGAGAAAGAGAGAGAGAGAGAGTGAGAAAGCAAGCCACCGGGTCTAGGACTCAAACTAAGGTCAGCCAGTGCCCTTACCCACCATGCCACTTGTCACGCCTCCCCCCATTTTTTAAAAAGAATTATTTTACTGAACTTTATTTATTTATTTAAGGAGAGAATATTTTATTGGAACAGAATGTGTTATGCCAGGCTTTGGAAACAATGTACTGTCAGTCGTGGAGCAGTGTTATAGTGACAGTTAATCAAAGGCCATGAGGGAGACCTAAGTATGGTGATGTTTCTGGTCAAATAAAAATGTTGATTTCCTTTTTTTTTTTCGAGAGTTGATTTGCTTTGTTTCTGTGTTACCTTCTCATCACAGATGGAGTCATCAGACTTGCAGGTGGGAAAGGCAGCCAGGAGGGTCGCTTGGAGGTGTATTACCGAGGACAGTGGGGGACTGTCTGTGACGATGGCTGGACCGAGCTGAACACATACGTGGCTTGTCGACAGCTGGGATTTAAGTAAGGTCCATTGATATGAGGCAGCTCCATGCCAAACCATTTCTTTCAAAGTCCTAATTGTGTAATCCCTACTTGTAATTTCCATGATACTACAAACACGTTTTCTACTCTCTCTTTGCCTGCCCACCTCCATTCCTACCTATGTATGTGTGAAGCAAGAATCAATGACATTTTTTAAGAAGATGAATGACCATATCTTCTACTTGTCTCTTTTACCTTTCCTGCCACCACCCCTCTTCTTGAAGAATTAGCTTCAAGGGGTAAATTCTAGGTCCCTTTGTGCCTATTCAAGTAAGACTTTGAATGCTCGATTTTGTTCAAATGCATCCCTACTATTGGACATCTTAGTCTGACATCACTGTGTCTAAAAGTGCAGCTAGGTCCAGTGACAAATGCTTTGGTATTATATTATTCCCTTTCTCAGAATGTGATGATAAGTATCACTTTTATTTGAGAAAAACAGCCCTCTTGTCATGAGATGCCCTTTAGAACTGCCTTTGACCTCATTCACTTAAAAACCCAGTGTCACACTTTGGGTGATATATTTCATGTCACACATATAATGCATTCCAGCGTAAAGATAAAGTTGGTCAAAGCAACTGCAAATGATGCCTTTGAGCTATATGTTTAATGAAGTCCATGAATGCCCATTCTTTTCTGTTTTTCCTCTTTCTATGTCATACTTGAAGTCATTGTCTGATATTTGAAAAACTTGGCAACATTATTTCATGTCATTTGGAGATAGAGCTAATAGCAAAGATTTGCTAAGTCTTAAAAATATACTTTCATTCAAGCTAGGCAAAGCCATGTTTAAACATAGGTTTTCAAACTTATGAAAGTAATATAAAACAAAACTTGGGAAAGGAAGTAAAATTAGCTGTAATTTTTCCATTCTTGGCCCATCATTATTATAGCTTATGTGTATAAATCTTTATCAGCCCTACTTGTGGACATGTAATTTTAGTATCCACATTTTTTACCTTTCTACTGCTTAATAGTCATAAGTTTAAATGATAACAAATGAAAGGTTCATATCATCATTTACTTAATATTTAGTTAAAAATTTCCTATTGTAAATAATATTATCATAAAAATATAAATGCAAATAATTATCCCATATTTTGAATTTTCTTGGGCAGAGCAATTTATTATATAATAATTACTTTGTCAAGAAATATTATATGTTATATATTCAAGTAAATATTAACATTAATAAGAATTGTGTAATAAATGCCACTTTTTGTCTAAGCGAATCTTTGCTCTCCTGGCAACTATGCTCTATTTTCACAGTTTTAGAGAAATTCATGAATGCTATTATTTACTGATTATTTTCACATTTTTTCCTTATTCATGAAAATGATTGAGTGACATTGATTTTTTTTGTCCACATATATGTATATTTTTTGCATCACAAATCCATTCAAGTATTTTTTTTTTTTGGCGTACCCAGAGTTCTAAACTTACCGAGTCGAAAAATGTTCTTAATAATGTGTGTTAAATGTTCTAAATGTGTTAGAAGACAGTATAAGCATGTGCTACACATACTTTTAGTGTGCAGAGAAATTTTTGAAAGAGAAAATTATTTAAAATGAGAAGAGGATAAACTTTGGATTTCTTTATACAAACGTAATCCCAACATAAAATGACTGCCTTTTATTTGTTACATAGCTGGTATGGACAGTTGACAGATTAATGCATTCTGTGAAAAAAAAAAAGTGTAAGTTGAAAGTGAGAGTAATATGAGATTTAGGTTTGTTACATTTCTAGTTAAGTTTGGATTAATCAGCCAGACAGAAGAGAAGCCTTAGAATGATTAATTACAAGTTGCATTGGTTTAATTTATTTATCAATTCAATAAATGCTTACATAAAAATTGATGGAGGAATTTATGCCAAATAGATCTCTTCATATTTTTAGTACAGAAATAATAGAAGCACCGAGTGAGGGAAATGACTTGACAAAATTCACGAGTAACAGTCTGTTAGAACTGAAAGATGACCTTAAAGATCTGTAAGCTCAGTGATTCCTGGAGGTTTGGATCTTATGGAATAAGAGAAAACAAAATTGGAGGGGAGGTAGAAAGGAAAGGAGGTACAGACCATTTGAAAAAGCTTTTAGAGATCTTTGATATTTCTACAATATATATTTTTATTTACTTCAAAACTTTTTTTGGTAGTACAGTGTTTAAAGTTAGTTGGAATTCAAATGTAATTTATAAACATTTTAATAACTGAACTGAAATAATCTTAGGAAGAGCTAGGAACATGTATTCTGATTTTGATGGGCTGAAATCCAAATTTCATCATGAATTCAGTACCGTGCTTGAGAATCAGTGAACTAAATTGTACTTTACTTTGGAGAAGAGGATACCAAAAAGGCTTGGAGATGCTGGTGACATCAAATAAGCTCAGCTGGCTCCGCAGAGGCCAAAGCAAGACGTGTTCTTACTTTCTGGTCACAGTGTTACACCTGCAGTCAGGAGTTGGAGGTTTATTGCTCTGTCTGAATTATCTCTGACTGGTAGGTTACACTGTAGACAAAACACCAGAGTGAATGGGGGAAAGGATGAATTATTCATTAATAAGTCATTAAGATAATAAAAAAAATTATGACGACCAAAATATGTGATCGAATGAGTCCTGAAGGTAGGAGAAAGTACAAATTCTTGTCCTCCGAAATCATAACACTTAATTAGGTTGTTGATTTTATTGTGGTTCTTTGAAACAAGACTCAGCAATTCCATGCAGAATGTTACTTTGTTGCCACAGGTATGGCAAACAGGCCTCTGCCAACCATTTTGAAGAAAGCACAGGGCCCATATGGCTGGATGACGTCAGCTGCTCAGGAAAGGAAGCGGGTGTCCTTCAGTGTTCCAGAAGACCATGGGGACGGCACGACTGCAGCCATCGGGAAGATGTCGGCCTTGTCTGCTACCCCGGCAGCGATGGACACAGACTCTCTCTGGGTGAGGACCAGCCAGGGCGCTGAGTATCCATAACTCAGTAGCCACTGTAGCTTTTACAGTTGGTCCAGACTATGAAGTAGTTCTCATCTTTGGGTATTTTTTTAAGAGAGAGATTTTTGCTATAGGATGCATGGGCTCGACAGAGAGACAGAAAGTGAGAAATCACCCCCTTTGGGGGATGGTCACCCCACAATCCCTTTTCTTCCATTCTCCTTTTGGGATTTTGGGCATGCATGCACACGTGCCCAGCATGAGTTTAAGCCACTGGTCCAGGATTCGAACCACAGTCGACTGTGGGATTCCATTCCATTATGCCATCTGCTGATCCTGTCTCATCTCTGGCTTTTAACTCTTCAATTTTCAGGCAGAGAAAAATAATTTTTTTTTTAAAATTTGCCAGAGGGTACTTATGCTCATCAGAGAGACACAGAGAAGGAGAAGGCACACCCAATGGGGTGCGGTCATACTACAATCTCTTCTCTGTTTATTCATTCATTTGGGATTTGAAACACACACACACACACACACACACACACACACACACACACACACACACACACAGCTGGTCTGTTTCTATGCTGCTGGGTCTGAGATTTGAACTGTGTGGTCAGCCATATGGGATTTAGCTCCTTTTAACCAATAGGCTATGGTTCTGGCCTGAAAAATAATCTCTCTTCCAAAATCTCTCTTCCAATCCTACAAAGTTTCTACCCCAAGTTTGTTTTTCTTTACTTAAAAGCCTGAATTTCTCACTAACAACATATATAATCACTTGTATCTGAAAAGTAGAATAAAAGATAACTGGCTTCTCTAATAACCTCGTGATAATTATAGATAAAAATTCTCTTGAAAGCAGAGAGCATTTTAACATTCTTGAAAATCCTTAATGTCTGATGAGGAGGCAGAATAAATAAGAATGAAAGAGGGAAATATTTAGAAGACTTTGCAACTTTCCAGGATGTATCTCATCTCTGTTACATATCTATACATATGTTGTGTGTGTGTGTAAGCAGATGTTAAATAGACCTTGATGTTCTCTTTTAACCTCATGATTCAATCCACTTCTCCTGTGCCCTCCTGTTTTAGTACCATGAAGTTCTGTCTTCCCACTATAAAATAACAGAGCTATTGAATCTCACATTATTAACCATATTGTGTACTTTAAGCTTGTTGAAGTATATGATTGATTCTTCTTGTACTCTAAACAGTGAGATCATGGTGACTGTACTAATCTAGCTTTTTTTATTAATTGTCAAAGGGCAGGCATGCTCACTAAATACAGACAGACATACAGAAAAAGAGAGAGAGAGAGAACCCCCAGTGGGGTGTGATCATGCCACAATCCCTTCTCCTCCACTTCTCCATCCTGTAGGGTTTTGAGGCATGCATGCTCATGTGCCTGGCGTGCTTTTCAAGTCATTAGGGCTGGGATTTGAACTGTGGAATTTACCTCCCTTCACCAGTAAGCTCTGTGGCTTGTCCTCATCTAGCTTTACGCCAAGTAGAAGTGCAGTACATCCTTCACAGGCCATAATTCCCCCTTTCTTTTCATTTGTTCTCCTTCTTCCTTGCTTCCTTCTTATGAGGAATTTGTGACCCTTACAGGATTATGTGAGGAGTGATTGCATGTGGTCGATAGAAATGGCTCCTCTCAGCTCCAGACAGCAGGTGTCTGGGTCACAGAGTGATCTGTTCAGATGAGCTCCATCGGTGCTCCTGCTGTAAAGTACTGTTATAACGGTGTGAGCTGAGTTCTCAGAAGACCCATGTAGTGAGATACATTCTATGGTCAAGACCATTAATCTTCTCAGTTCTCCTTAAAAATCTTTTTTAATTCTAGGATGCTAGATGTATGTTTTAAAAATTTATAAAGCCAAGGGTGGTAATTATTAATAAAATATGTGATCATTATTATGAATCTCTTTGGTTCTAATCTCAGTAATGTGTCTGTTAACTGAAGTCATTTGTTCAAACTATATTTGGTCTGAGCCAAATACTCTTTTGGGATAGACTCATATTACCACTTATTCCTTCAAAGAGATCATTACTTGTCCACATTAATACATACTGTGTATGTATCTGTGTGTGTATATATCTATATCTATGTAATAATTTATTTAATTTTATTTATTCATTCATTTTAATTTGACCAGAGGGCGACAGACAGAGAGAGAGGGAAAGTGAGAAAGTAAGCCACCAGGTTTGGGACCTGAACTGTGGTGGGCCATGTGGGAGTGTCTAGTGCCTTAACCACCATGTCACCTGCTGGTCCTCCATACTGCATGTATTAAATGAGAAGTTTAGAGAAGGAGATCGTGGAATAATGACAAAAACAACAACAATTAAGAAACAATGAAATTTTTTTCTTTTTATTTAAAAAACAAATTTTTTTTGGAGAGTTTTTTTTTTTCTTTCTTTCTTTCTTTCTTTCGTTTTTTTTTTTGCTATAGGAGTTGTGCACTCGCCAGACAGAGAGAGAAGAGAGACAGAGAGAGAGACAGAAAGCGAGAAATCACCCCCCAGAGGTGATGGCCACACCGCAATCCCTTCTCCTTCATTCTCCTCTCGGGATCTTGAGCACGCACGCACACGCGCCCAGCGTGAGTTTTAAGCCACTGGGTCCAGGACTCAAACCATGATCGACTACATGGGAGTCCAGTGACATAGCCATCACGCTAAGTACTGGTCCCCTTTTTATTTTTGAGAGAAATTTTTGCTATGGATGCATACTCATTGGAGAGACAGAGAGAGACAGAGACAATAAACATTTTGTTGATTGTGACTTTGTTATATGATTCTACAATATTACTGGTTCTATGAAGCAAACATGACCATGGATAAAAACTAGTGCGCCAACCACTCTGGGGAAAATAAAGACAGATAAGTAAACATGAATATAAGAAATAAAAGTAGGATTTGCCCCACAGCTTACCAATGATATCTTTTTTTTTAAGAATTATTTATTTTTAATTTTACTTATTCATACACTTTTAAAAAAAATTTTGACCAGAGAGAGAGAAAGAGAGGGAGAGTGAGAAAGCAAGTCACCAGGTCCAGGACTCAAACAAACTATGGTCCGCCATGTGGGAGTGTCCAGCACCCTAACCACCACACCACCTGCTGGTCCTGGTATCTTCTTTTAATGAACAAATGTCAAATTAATAATTTCATAAGTTGGTTTAAACATATATTAAAGATTTTTATTGTTACCTGCCTCCTTCCACCTCCTTAGATCTCCTCATAATTCTATCATGCTTCATTTAGTCTCTAAATGATTACTGATAAATCCTGGGAGACCTGATGCTGAAGACCACTCTAGATGATCCAGTGTGTGTGTATTTGTTTGCTCGAGTTGCTGCAGTGGAGCACTGTAGAGTGGGCGGCTTAAACACACATGCTTATTGTCTTGCAGTCCCAGAGGCTAGAAGCCCAAAGTCAAGGTGTTGGTTCCTTGAGAGGAGACTGAGAGTCCAAGGCTGTGGAGATGGATGTGCTCCAGTCCTTTCTGCTTGGCTGTAGATGGCAGTCTGTGTCTGAAGGTCTCCTTTTCATAAAGGCACCTGTCACGATGGATTAGAACCCACCCTGTGAACTCTCAACTCCACCCATGGCACTGTGCAAGTCACAGTGAGGGCCTTAAACCACTGCATGCTGATTGTACTGATAGAGTATGGCATCTACAGACCACTCCTTCGCATAATTTAATTCACCTTAGCCAGGTCCTGGATTCAACTGCAGGTTGGCCTTGTGGGTCTGGGGGAGGCTTAACTACCAGGCTGCAGAGCCGGCCTTGGCTTTTCCACTTGTAAATGTTAGTAATTGTTATGAACTTCAGAGCTTTCCTTGGAATCAATAGTGAATAGCAAGCCTGAGATGGAAATAGCCCGTTGGCTGGTTTCCTCTTTGTTCTCACTCCTCCAGCATTAGGCCTATTCAATTTCTTCATGTGCCAAGGTTGAATCTGTTTATGCCTTCCTAAGAATCTTAGCTGTCGAGTATGCATTGCTAGCTATGTTTGTGGATAAATGAATAGACATGAAACAGAAAAGCTCTAAGTTCATTATTATTACTTTCTCTTACTATTTAGAAATTACTTATGTCAACCCACGATTGTGTAGTGCTATTTGTTCACTCGTTCATTAAGTAAATGGCTATGGCACCTCCTGTAGCAACTGCCCATCCTCTGTCCACTCGGCTCTGTCCTATGGGCAGGGATGCAAAGTGGAACAGTGGTGAGCACTTGCGGACTTCAATGCTTCAAAAGATATTACAAAGTAGATATGGCTTTAAAATGGATATCCCTTCCTTCCTTTCCCTTTTCTTCCCTTCTGTCTCTCTGATTTTATAGCTGATTGAAAAACATTTTTAATTGTATTTTGTTAAGGCTTTCATGCTTTTGTATCGGTTTGCTTGTTTTGGCTTTTCTAATACTTTTGAATCGTGACTTAGGTTTTCCTATCAGACTTATGGACGGAGAAAATAAGAAGGAAGGCCGAGTGGAGGTTTTTATCAACGGCCAGTGGGGAACCATCTGTGATGACGGGTGGACTGATAAGGACGCAGCTGTGATCTGTCGACAGCTTGGCTATAAGTAAGGAAGACCTCATTATTTGGCATGGTTACTTGATGAACAGTTCTGATTATTTTAGGCTTGCTCTTACGACTTACTTAATACATAAAGTTAGTTTCCATCGTCCAGTTGGAAACACAGGCACCATGCTGATTTAATTCAGAGTTAAAAAGAAGCTGTATGTAGAATGTATTCAAATTTGTTCATCTTCTCACAAGAAATATATATTATGACACATAAGAAAAGTAGCCATTTATCTAATAACTAGTTTAGTAACTCTGGTTATGCACACTGTTGCTCTCATGAGCCAAGGATGTTAACATATTAACCTTTTTTGTCAGTAATTTATGTTCTAAAACCATAGCCTTTTAGGGCATCCTACAGTGAGTGAAATAGGTCAGCTGTCATTACTCATGGTATTTATGTTCTAGAAAGTCACTGTGATCTCCGAACTAGCAAATACTGAGACATCGCTCAGCAGTTGTCCTTTTACTGCACTCTGGTTAGTGCCTTTAGTTTTAATTTCTTGCTTTTGTTGTTCGTTATTTCATTATTAAAAATGGCCCCCAAGCGCCAGCCAGTGTCATAGTGGGTAAGGCAGATGAGTCCCATATGGCCAACAGCACAGTTCAAGTCCCACATCTGGTAGCTTGAAAAACACATTGAGTATGTGTGGGTGTGTGCCCAAATCCCAAAAGGAGAAGAGAGAAGGGATTGGGGCGTGGCCATCCCCCCTGGGGGCATGGTTTCTCACTTTCCTTCTCTTTCTGTCTCTGTCTCTCACACTCTATGGCAAAACTAAAACTAAACAAACAAACAAACAAGCAAAAAGCCCTCCAACATACTGCTGTTGCTAAGTGCAAAAAGGCAGTGATGTGCCTTATGGAAAAAAAAAATGTGTGTTTGATAAGATTCATTCAGGCAAGAATTAGTTATCATTTTTTTAAAATGACACTACATGGAATGTGGATGGGACACTTGCTTACCATGTGAGAGCTGCACAGAAGGTAGCAGACCATCTCTTTGTTAGACCTCAGCTGGGTGGCTCAGATTTTTCCTGGTTCTGCGTATGTCTGTGAATGATGGTGAAAGTGCCCTAAGGATTGGCTTTGGAATTACAAAATATGGAAAATGTTACAGGGTTATTAATTTAAAGTAATATACATAAATTGCCTAACTCACAGTTGATTACTGATGGTGATTTGGATTTAAAAATATATCCTTAGTTATGTATCTATATGTCTTCAATATTGATCAGTTTAATTAGTTGGAGAACTTTCTTTATATTCAAAAGTATTTCTAACTCTAACAAAAGTTCAAAATTTTTTGGTTAACTTTTCATTCAGTTTGTTTTGGTTACTCAGATACTACTTCAGTTCTGCTCAGTTTTGGACCTATTTGCAATTAAAATTGCCTTATGGTCAGTGGGCACATTATTTGTGATATAGGTATTTTGTTTTCAAAATATGGTAGTAGAAGGAGACAGGAGTGGTCTACATTAGATGTGTAGGTGAACTTAGTCAACAATTTATTTTAAATATCTTTTTCTCACTACGTTTCTATCACTCTTATTTCCACTTGAAAAAAAATTTTTTTTAAATTTGCCAGAGGGCATGTACACTCTCCAGAGAGAAAGAAAAAAAGAAAAAAAGGAGAAAGCACCTCACGGGACATCATCGCTCTGCAACCCTGTCTCCTCCAGTCTCCTTTCAGGATTTTGGGCACATATGCATATGTACCTGGCATACTTCTCAAGCTTCTGGGTCTGGGACTCAAAGTGTACAGTTAGCCACATGGGATCCAGTGCCTTAACCACCATGCCACTGGCTAACCAGTAATCATTATTCTTGCTCTTGCATTAGAGTCCTTAATGTATTTCCTTACCCCAAGTCAACCATTAAAGCATATTGCCATCTGAGACTGGCTGCTTGGCTATACTTTTATTAACTAATTTATTTAAAGAATTATTCATTTTATTTATCATCACTATTATTATTTTTAAATTTACTATAGGGTACATAAGCTCACCAGAGAAGACACACCACATACACAGATAGAGAAAGTGAAATTTAGAGAGAGAGAGAGAGAGAGAGAGAGAGAGAGAGAGAGAGAGAAAACAAGCCACCAGGTCTAGGACTCAAATCAGGGTTAGCCATGTGGGAGTCCAGTGCCTTAACCACCATGCCACCTGATGGCCCTCATACTTTTATTTTCTTATTTTCATTTGATTATGGAGTTGAACAAATAAACCTAGGATTACCTTTGGTAATGTAAAGGCAAAATATGAACTCTGATCATCAAATTCTATGTGTTAGCCAAGTTTAAGGAGGGAAGAAGTTCCTGAGTATATTCATTAATGCATTATAACTTTGATTTATTTCTACATTTCTACTAGTTAAAAAAAATGTTTCCCCATAGAGTGTGTACACCAGAGAGAGAGAGCCAGAGAGAGGAGAGTGAGAAATCACCTCCACTACCCTCTGATTCTCAAGTTGCCAGATGTGAAACTCCAATCATGGTCGGCCACGTGGGAGTCTAACACCTTAACCACCAAACCACCTGCTAGCCCCTCATTGGTTTATATTTATTATCATTTAGTCCATTTACCCTTATGCTCAAAAATGAATTTAGCCTTATGTTAGCAAAGCTATTATATAAAGAAACCATGGATAACAAGTGTTGGTAAGAATGTGAAGAAACTGGAACCCTTGTACACTGATGTGTAGAATGGCGCAGCCACTTTGGAAAACAGAAAGAGGTTCCTTAAAAAATTAAAAGTAGAACTACTAGGGTCAGCTCTTGGCCTGATGGTTAAGGTAACTGGATTCCACATTGCCCAACATGCGGTTTCAGGTTGTGGCAAAAAACACTCTGGGTACGCATGTGTGTGCATGAGTTCCCAGAACTCTGAAAGAAGGGAAAAATGAAGAAGGGATTGTGTGTTACCAGCCCCTTTGGGGAGGGGATGCTTTCTCCCCCTCTCTCTTTAATATGCACACGCTAGCATATTTTTAAAAAATGAGACTACCATATGACCCAGCAATCCCACTTCTGGGTTTATAATCCAAAGCATCAAATCAGGATCTCGAAATATCTACACTCCCATGTTTATTGAACATTATTCAAAATAGCCAAGATATGGAAACAACTTGAATGCTTGCAGATGAATGAATGAGTAAAAAAATGTGGTATTGTGTATAATGGAATGTTTAAAAAAAAAGAAGAGTTTGTGATTTGCAACAACATAGATGAGCCTAGAAGATATTACACTAAGTGAAATAATCCAGTCGCACAACAAATAGTGTCCAATTCCACATGTATAAGATATTTAAAATATTGCTTTACCAGAACATCTTTTTAAATTGTTAACATACTAAAATATATTTTACACCAACATAAAAAATGATCTGAATTGGGGCCAGCAGGTGGTGTGGTGGTTAAGGGCGCTGGACTCCCACATGGCCGACTGATGTTTGAGACTCGGGCCTGGTGGATTGCCGTCTCACTTATTCTCTCTCTCTCTCACTCTGTCCCTCTCTGGTCAAGTTAAACTAACTAACTAACTAAATAAATAAATAAATAAATAAAGTTAAATATAAAGCTATTATCTGAATTATAAAATAAAATTTAAAAAAATCCTTAACTTCCCCTTCCTAGAAAAGAATAAGACATTTAATATTCTGTGACTTATTTCCTTACTTCCAAACTGATGGGAATCATCTGGAATTTTAGTTTCTTCAAATTATACCCATTTGAATTTCAAATTGGTTTACATTACACATCCCTATTGTCAGCAATTATTTTTATCTTTTAAAAAAGGTTAATAAAATAAACAATTTTTGGCAATTGTTACTAAAAGGAAAGGAGAGAAAATACAAATAAACATTAGAAGGGACAAAAGAGGTACAATCACAACAGATAGATGAATGTTTTTAAGAAGTTGTGGAAGCCTACTGTGAACCATATTTAGCAAATAAATTTGGAAAGTTGATGAAATACACAATATTTGGGAAACTGTGTATCGTCAACCAAAATGTAATTATCAAAGCTGACACAGGAGACGAAAACCTGATTAGATTAATGGCCATGGAGGAGATGCCTGTGATTTTTTTCCCTGGACTTTTGATCAGTCTTTAAAACACAGATCATTCCTTAATGATATAAACGGTTGCAAAGAAACATATGGAAATCTTCCTGTTCATTTTATGAGGTGAATATAATTTGATTTAAAGGCTAGATGAAATAAGTATACACATAAAAAGAAAGCTATATCCTAATCTCATGAATCTAAATACAAAAAAGCAAGTCTAAACAAGATGTTAGTGAATTTAACCCAACAGAGTATTAAAAGAACAGTATACTACAGAGGAATGTAAGGGTGGATCAAACCGACACATTCAATGACTATATTCTACTGTGTCACCTAAGTGGAAACAAATGTGTTCATTTTAATAATGTTGAAATTTTTGTTTTCTTTTTTTTGGAGAGGTTTTTGCTATAGGGCGTGTGTGCTCGCCAGACAGTCAGAGACCGAGAGATAGAAAGCGAGAAATCATCCCCCAGGGGGGATGGCCACGCTGCAATCTCTTCTCCTCCATTCTCCTCTCAGGCTCTTGGGCATGCACGCACACGCACCTGGCGTGAGTTTAAGCCACTGGGTCCGGGACTTGAACCGCGGTTGACTATGTGGGAGTCCAGCGACATAGCCATTACACCAATTGCTGGTCCTAATGTTGAAAATTTAAATAACATCAATATTCCTTCTTCAACCCTCTTATGAGGTTAGACCAAAATAAATCTACTTTAGTTTTATATCACAAATAAACATCACCTAGAACAAAACAAGGGTGCCTGCTTTCACTGCAACGTCTCTACATGGTCTGGAGGTAGCAGTGAGTATTAAGAGCTGAGGTAACAGTATTGGAAAGGAAAAGCTTGAATTGTTCTATGAATAATAATATGACTGTTTACCTACAGAACCTGAGAGAATGAAATGGAAAGACACTAGAACTAGTGTTTATTAATGTTACATGATAAAATATAAATATTAAAGAATAAACTTCCTAAGAATTGTGGCCTATGTGGAAAAGCTAATCTTTACTGAATCTAGAAGACTTCATTAGTAGAGAGACACACTGTATCCTGAATAGAAAGACAAAATGGAAATTAAATCTACACAGTAAATATCATCCCAATAAAAATCTGTGTGGGTGGTGTGGTGAGAGGGATTTCACTTTCATATTCACCTAAAGTCTAATCCATGTGATGCTGGCACGGGAACAGGCAGAGGTTGGTGACATCAGCCACAGCAATGATGATCAACTTTGGTTGTTTATTAATATCGCTGTGTGATTAAAAAAAAGTATTACCCATGCTTGGCCCCCTTTCCATAGATTCCACTTTACTTGATAAGAGATGGATTCAGGTTTTACTTTATTTTTTTTTTAACGTTTTCAAAGGTAATTCTAATGGATAAACCAGGTTGTGAATTACTGAACTGTAAAGACCAGGTAGAGAGGTCTTTGAACTTAAACTGGGAACCTTACCCTTTGGGATTGTCTCACAGTGTGTTGTGTTTTACCTCTGCATCACCATAGGGCTCCTAAGTTTTATTTTTGACAGGCATAAAATAAAATGTTGCTAGCACGTCTGAATACTAATTTTAATATGCAAAAGTTACAGAATAAAACTGACTATGAGTCACTGTGAGTATTGTGATTTACTCATGTATGACCAACTGATTCTCCACATCCTTAAGAATGCTGTGTTTCCAGGGGTCCTGCCAGAGCCAGAACCATGGCTTACTTTGGGGAAGGAAAAGGACCCATCCATGTGGACAATGTGAAGTGCACTGGAAATGAGAGGTCCCTGGCCGACTGTATCAAGCAGGATATTGGAAGACACAACTGCCGCCACAGCGAAGATGCAGGAGTTATTTGTGATTATTTTGGCAAGAAACCATCAGGTAACAGTAATAAAGGTAAGTACCCTGGAGCCCTAGCCAAGTGAAGGATACTAATCTGTATTTCATTACTGCAAGCAGTACTTTGACAAAAATCCCATGCTACAAGAATGTCTCCCAACCATTGTGTTTTTTGTGCTGATGTTTAGAGCCAGGATTCTTGGCAAACTTGTGTGAGTGGAGGTTGCAGGGATAGCAAGGTTCAGGAGGGGGTGAGAGTCCACAGGACCTTGTCATCTCGGGGATCCTCCCTGTAAATTCTCAGCTATTTCTGTACCAGTCCTTTCCCAGGTGTAATAAAAAAAAACTGCCATGCTTGTTGCTATCCGTAAAGATTCAGAATTGACTCTTCATAAAAAGGAAAGAAGTGAAAATATAGAGAAGAAGCGAAGAAAGGCAACTCTTTGCTCTTGCTATTGTTAGAAACAATGGGATTATTTAAAAATGAATTTCAAAATGAAAGTGATATTCGCAGATTTTATTTTCTGAAAAGTAAAAAATTTAAGGAAATTGAGAAATCTTGTAGTATAGTACAGTAAGTAACTGTTTCATAAATAAATAGAGTTGATGAAAGCTCTGAGTATGTTTAATTTTTAGGGAACACATTAATTTTTTAAATGAATGAGTTTTGGAGAATGAGCTATTTTGGGGAAACCAGTGGTTATTTTATTTATTTTTTTTTTTGGAGAGGTTTTTGCTATAGGGCGCGTGCGCTCGCCAGACACACAGAGAGAGAGAGACTGAAAGCAAGAAATCACCCCCCAGGGGGGATGGCCATGCCACAATCCCTTCTCTTCCATTCTCCTCTTGGGATCTTCGGCATGCACGTGCATGAGCCTGGCGTTGAGTTTTAAGCCACCGGGTCCAGGACTCAAACCGTGGTCAACTACATGGGAGTCCAGTGACATAAACATTATGCCAACGGCAGGTACCACCGGTGGTTATTTTTATAAAAAGAACAGTCTCTTCTTCATCTGAATTCAAAGTTCAGAGATTTGATACATAGATTTTTTTTCCTTAAAATCAGTTGCATCTGTATTTGAGCATTCTCTTTTTCTAATTCATTTTAATTGCTGCTAAAGATAATGCAATAAATAAATTAGATGTTAATATGATTCTTTATCATCTGAGGGATTTCTGAGTGTGGCAAGAACACTTAAAACCCTTTGTGCCTTGTTTATGTTCTATTCTTTTTATATATGCACACACATATGCATTCATGCACACACACACACACACACACACACAGGAACTTCAAAAAGTAACTAGAAAAATAGATTTTACTTTCTTGCAGTCTGGTGTTTTGCCCCAGAATGATGTAAACGTTAGGTTTTGCTTGCTCAGTATTACGTCATTTCTTTTCTTGGCATTGTATACATTGACCCGACTTAGAGCATTACTGGGAACTTATGTTTTTCTATTATCCTATAATTTGCTGCATCATCTAGAGGACTCATACTCTTAAGAGATGAAGGTTAAAGTTTGACAGCATGACTCTGAGATCATTTGGCAAATTAATCATTTTGGTTCACATTGGTGAACCTCTTTCTCCATCAAGAAATAACTACTACTGATTTCCCACTGGATTCTCTTTTACCTTGTTATCATGTGATACCATTAGTGCTGATTAGGTCTTCATGTTCTTGGCATGATTCCCACCCTTCTCTTCCTGCACAGATAGGAAAACAATACATATCTTTCCTTTATGCATATATCCTAAACCAAAGTACCCGTCTATAAATTCTCCTACTTGCTAAAATTATTAAAAATATCAGTTATACTTTATTTTATTTGTCTTCCCCTTTTGTTTAAGAGATAATTTTATTTTTTAAAGAAAGGTTTTTTGCTCTAGGGCACATAAGTTTGCCGGAGAGACAGAGAAAGACAGAGAAACAGAAAGTGAGAAATCACCTCCCAGGGGGATGACCATGCTGTAATCCCTTCTCCTCCATTCTCTGCTTGCGATTGTGAGCATGCATATACACACATGCTCGCTGGGTCTCGGACTTGAACTGCTGAAGACTACATGGGAGTCCAGCGATAAAACCATTATGCCATCTGCTGGCCCCAGCTTTTCATAGATTTTTAAACTAATTCTTTATACATTCTAGACAGAAGTCTATTAACTTGGGACGTTTGAATGCATACCCTTAAATACAATTTGTCACTTAAATTGGCTTAGCAAACCCTTTCCATATGTTAATACTCTATAAGGAGTAATGTGCCAATTCAGATCAGAATTCTATCCTGTAAATGTGCTTTTTTTCCTCTGAGCTACATTTTTTTGAAGAATTTTTTTAACTTTATTTATTTATGTTTAATTTGACCAGAGAGGGACAGAATGAGAGTGGGGCAGGAGTGAGAAAGTAAGTCACCAGGTCCAGGACTCGAACTGCAGTCAGCCATATGGGAGTCCAGCGCCCTTCACCATGCCACCTGCCAGCCCCCTGAGCCACATTTTTATGTATGTCTTGGGACAGTGCTGTCTGTGGAAAGCCCGTAATTTAGACCATTACTCTTTACTGTTCTCTTGTTTTGTTTAATGTTCCTGAACTCCATGACAACAAGCAGAAGATGTAGGCACCTTAAAGGATAATGCACTGGACAAGGTCAGACCATTCGGCAGCCAAAAAAACCTCTCAGAGCTGAATGATAGGAAACCTGACAAAGTTTCATCTGTTTGCACATTGCTGTTGTTTAGTTAAATGAGACAACTTCTCACTTTTATGAAAGGAAAAATTATGATTTACAGATAAAAGGCATTTCAAATCGGAGAAGTAACAGGGAAATAGGCCACTTTCGCTTTTCTCTATCAGTGATGACAGTTTTATTAATGGCCTGTGTCTGCTGCAGAGTCACTCTCATCTGTTTGTGGTTTGCGGTTACTGCACCGGCGACAGAAGCGGATCATTGGTGGGAAGAATTCCTTAAGGTAAAGGGTTCTTGGTGGAGATTTTCCATATAAAAAAAATTATTCATACACATACAATATCCCAAACTGAGGATTTTCTGTTCTTATTTAGGGGAATTTTCTTAAGGGTTTTTTTTTTTTTTTAACCGAAAGAGGATTTCACTGAGAATTTTACTACCCTTTGACCTACACTTACTTAATTCAGAACATGGTCATATATCACTACTCTGATTTGTGAGATAGAGGTGTTGCTGAAGAGTTATGTGGCAGAAGCAAAATTTAACGGGCTACCTGAAAATGTGTACCTAAAAAGATTAATTTAATTTAGAATATGTCTGTTTCAGGCTTGAATCATTTTAATATGCTTTTTGTTTGTTAAATTTACTATTGGAAAATGAGCACTTTGTTTGTTAAATCCTAATTCAGACTGCATAGGTAGGGTAGAATGAAAAGAAGAAACTACATTTTAAACCATGAAATAGAGTGAAGACCCAACTTGTCCTAAGAGTGTGAGGGACAGGTGGAATGCCTCCAGATGCCTGGAAGCACGTCTTCAGGGTTGCTGATACTGGTCTGCTCAGAGCTGTAGGGGTATCATTTCAAAGCAGGAAAGGGTCTTACACCTTAAAGTGCCTGTTGTGTTCCTTTCCCCACCTGCAGGCCATCAGTATCAGTGGACTCATTTCTCTGTTTGCACATTGCTGTTGTTTAGTTAAATGAGACAACTTCTCACTTTTATGAAAGGAAAAATTATGATTTACAGATTTAATGGTGCCTTTCTTGGCTTCTCTGCCTGTTATGGATGCTGATGTGTGGCCTGTTTTATTCTTAGGGGTGGCTGGCCTTGGCAGGTCTCCCTCCGACTGAAGTCATCCCATGGCGATGGCCGGCTCCTATGTGGGGCAACGCTCCTGAGTAGCTGCTGGGTCCTCACAGCTGCACACTGTTTTAAGAGGTAAGTGTCCACCTTTCTAAACAACCTGACACAACCCTTGTTCAGTTCTTCCAGTTTTTTCCTCTCGACAGCATGTGGGATGTCAGGGCCAGGTTTTAAGCCTTGCATGTCTATGCCAGCAGCAGAGAAAATGCCTTTTCTTTGCAGGAGTAGAGAGGTGACACAAGGAACCAATAGAGCCCTCTGGAAGCCACTCACTGCCCTTGGGTTAAAGCAAACTCCAGGTTTAGAGGGAAGACGGGTTTTGGGAGGGGAGGCAAACTATGCTTATGCTTCTCTGAACATACCTGAGGGTGAAATCATATCCGCAAAGGGATAGAAGAGACTTCAGATCCTTTGATTGTAAGTGGTAAGGAACAAGGAGTACAGGTTTAGTGTTTTCTTAAAATGTTCTTTCTTTCACAACAGAGACAGACAGAAAGAGGTACCCTCAACTGGTTTTGTCATGTCAATATTCTGCCTAACTAACTCCTGCTAACCCAGCACGTTCAGGTTGACCCAAAATTCAAACCTGTCCCATGGGCGTGTACACGTGAGGGCATTTTGCTGGGTCCTCGGGTATGGGCTCCCTTCAGTTTTATGAGGTCCTATCAATTTGCCCTCTAAAGGAACTGCATCAGTTTATATCCCAGCAATGTATACGTTCCTGTTTCCTTACATCCCCACCTACACTTGGTATGATACTATTAAAATTTTTACTTTTAGCTAATCTTAGAGTTTTGGGTTTCTTTTTAATTACAATGTCCTGACTAATGCCTCCCTCTTTCATGAATTCTGCGTTCATATCCTTAGCCCATTTTTCTATTGGCTTGTCTTTTTATAATGGAGTTTGGTAACTTTTAGATATTTGAAAAATTTTTCCTTATTACCATGTAATGAAGCTATCCTCTCATTTTCTTTTCCTCAATTTATTTTTGTTCTGCTTTCTATATTTATACTTTTAATCTGCTTACAGTTTATTTTTTGTATGGCTTACAGTGTGAGGAAGGGATCTAATTTTATACTTCTCTTTGTAGATAGTTTCCTTAGCACTTTTTAAATTTTTAAGTTAAAAAAAAATTTCCATAAGGCATATGTGCCTACCAGAGACAGAGAGGTTCCTGCAATCACACCTCATCTTCTGACTTTCAAGCTGACACACAGGACTTTTCTTTTTTGTTAGCCATATTCTTAACATTAAAGGTCAAGGCCTCCTTGTTTAGTGGACAGGATACATTATGATCTGAATGTTAAAGAATAATGATGGGGAAGAATATAATGGAGTTGGCAGACACTTATCTTTATCTGTTCAACATACCAAATGCTACACTGAAAAAGGACACGGATGGCAAGTTAATCATGTTTCTGGATGCCAGAAGACTGGGCAAGACAATGACACTTGGAAGACATGTAAGACCATGTTGCAGAAGATCTTGAAAGACTGATCCTAACAAGCAATATAGAATAAAGATGAAGTAAAATGTTGCCATTAGTTCCAGAAAACTTGGCTTAAATACAGCACAACTGAAAAACAATCTTGGATTTTTGTATCTTGCAACCCTTATATGAGTTGTGATGAAATATGGCTGTTCATGAAATGAACTCAGTCTTGAGGGGCACCGACAGAACAGTGCTTAGACAAAGTAGTGAAGAACCTTGCTAGCCTGTCCTACCATACTCAAGCTATTGCCTGACACATAAGCACTGCTGCTACCAAACAGGAGCCAGTGCTCAGTTCTGAGTGCCACACTGTATCCAACATGGCACACCAAGGACAGCAGGAAGGAGAGATCATGTGGAATCAGATTAGATTAGATTTGCCTATTACTTCAAATACCATTGAGGTTAAAGGAAGAAAAGACTATTTTTAATTTAACTAAGGAAGAGTTTTGTTGTTTTAATTTCCTTCCTTTTTTCCTTCCTTCCTTTTTCCTTCCTTCCTCCTTCCTTCATTTTTTTTAATTGCCAGAGGGCACTAGGACTCCCGAGAGAGAGAGAGAGAGAGAGAGAGAGAGAGCGAGCAAGCGAGAGCGAGTGCACTCCCTTCCCTCCCCATTGGGAATGGTCACACTGCAATCCTTTTTCTGTATCCCATCAGGATTTGGGACATGCACACACATGTGCCTGGTGTGTTTTCGAAGCCCCTAGGGCCAAGACCATAATCACAATCAGCGATGTGGGATCCAGATTTCTATGAATAGCACTTAAGCACTGTGCTAGAGGGCTGACCCTGTTTTTTAATTTCTTTAACATTCAAGACAGTTCAAAGATGGCATGGGTTGGTAGGAGGAAAAGTGAGTTCTGTTATGGAGTCTGTTTAAGTAGAGAGAGTCCAGATTCATGTATAAGTATAGGTGGGTGGTAGATAACTTCTAATGTGTAGAACACGAAGTTCAGGAAAAATGTATTATGAAAAGCTTTGCATTTAGTTTTTAAAAATTTGACCAATAAACTAACTTTAACTTCATTATTTCCACATACTTTATGAAGTCCCCTGTATAGTGGTGAGAAAACATAACCCATATTTGAAGGATGGCCATTATTGCCTAGACAATTAGACCTGAGATTTATGTAGTAAACCTAGAAAAGAAATACAAGGCCTGGAATGCTGGGTTTATAAATTTCAGTTTTATTCACTAGGCAGTGGGAAACCCCTGCAGATTTTTTGAGTTTTGAAATGTGATGAAAGAGAAGTTTTAGGAGATAAAGCATTTGGAGATGTATGGAATAGATCTGAGGGACTAGGGCACAATTATGAACCTAGGGTCTGAAAACGAGCTTAACATTATATGAAAATTTTGCATATGTACTTAATATGCTTTCTTTCTGCAATGACTCAAATTAATCTGTGTTACCAAGTGGTTAAAATCTAGTATGGGAGGAACCAAAAGAACTGTAAGGAAGGGACCCAATTTTATACCTTTATACTGAAAGGAGAGCAGTTATAAGGTTATTATGATACTAGAGATGGAAGGTGGAAGGGGAAAGGGGGAGAGAAGTTGAAGGCACTTTGTAAACATCAGCAGCTCTTGGCATAGTATAATGGAAGGAGACTTGGGTATGGTCATCGAGACCCAGTTCCAGTGGTATGTTTAATTTTGCTAGAAGGTGTGTGCACTCACCAGAGAGATGCAAAAATTGAGAAAGCATCCCTGTGGGGTATGGTCATGTCACAATCCATTCTCCTCCATTTCTCCCTCCTTATGGGATTTTGGCTGCACACACACACACACACACACCTGCTGTTTCTCAAGCTGTCAGGTCTTGTATTTGAACTATGCTGCCTGCCTTGTGGGATCTGGCTTCCTAACTGCGAGGACTCAGGGCCAGTCTTGTATGTTTAACTTTGAAGAAACCATTTAACCTCTTGGAGCCTTAGTATGTTCATTTGTAATTTAAGGAATAATATTCCACAGTGAGGTAACAATGACCTTCAGATTATTTCAAAGTATTTTAATAGACTGTAAAATGCAAAACATAGCTATTGGTATGTTGGGGTTCAATGTGAGTAATCAAAAAATATATTAGCAAAAGTAGGAAATTGAAGATGTACTAGTGGAGAATAAATAGGAAAACTGCAAAATAATTGAAGAAGCCTTTTTTTTTTTTTTTTTTTTTTTGAGTTTTTGCTATAGGGCACGTGTGCTCACCAGAAAGACAGACAGATACAGGTGCCAGCAACTGGCGTAATGGCTATGTCACTGGACTCCCATTTAGTTGACCGCGGTTCGAGTTCTGGACCCGGTGGCTTAAACTCACTCGAGGCATGTGTGCGTGTGTGCCCAAGATCCCGAGAGAAGAATGGAGAAGGGATGATGGCATGGCCATCCCCCCAAGGGGGTGATTTCTCACTTTGTCTCTCTGTCTCTGTCTTTCTAGTGAGCACACGTGCCCTATAGCGAAAACCTCTTAAAAAAAAAAGAAAAGCAAAGAAAGACAAAGAGATACAGAGAGACAGAAAGCAAGAAATCACCCCCCTTCCCCCCGAGAGGATGGCTACACTGCAATCCCTTCTTCTCCATTTCTCCTCTTGGGATCTTGGGCACACCTGCACATGTGCCCAGCGTGAGTTTAAGGAGCAGGTCTGGAACTCAAACCATGGTCCACTACATGGGAATCTAGCAACATAGCCATTACGTCACCTGCTGGTCCCTGAAGAAGCCTATCTTGAGGTCTAGAGTTTAGACAAAATAATTCAGGATATTTAGATTTTCCTCCCCTTATTCAAGATTCTTTGCATTTCTTTTTTTTTAATTAACTAACTAATTAATTAATTTTACATTCTTTCACTGAACATCATCACAGCATACAAAATGCAATTTCCCATCCAGAAAACACTGTATAGTGGCTTAATCATACATGTTATCATCAACAAATAATTTTCAATTTTTTTGTTTCTTGTGTATAAATTCTTCTGAAGGCCTGCCTTTTTTGCCTTTCCAGAGTGAATTCTCAGCAGAAAATCTTCATTTTTCTTATTCCCCAAAAGCATGAGATCTCAGCTCCCATGGAGTATTATTGCCTTCGTCTCCAATAGTTGGAGATGTCTTCTTCTGAAAGCTGACTCTGCACTTCAAATCTCAGCTAGAAGTTGTAATGTTAAAGGTTCAAAGCTTAAAGTAATAAAGTGGGAAAGGTTGCCCCAATAAAAAGCACACATTTGAAACTTGGCTCTGACTTTCAGGTTTCCTTGAAGGCATTGTCCCCTTTCCTTCTCTTTCTCTCTCTCACTCTCTCTCTTTTGTATGTGTTGGATTTGTTTGCTGACATGTCATGATTCTTTCCTTGGCCTGCTTCTTCTAGATGATTGCTTAAAGTCTTTAACTGTCTCACTTGTGTTTATAAATTAAGCATCTATATATTATTTGGCACATAGATTCTCCTAAATGACTGTTACATGATGGGGTTTGGTTGCCAAATAGTAGATATATTTAAGAATGTTGGACTTTGTAGAGGATGGTGGGATTTTCAACCTAGATCAACAGATTTCTCCTTCCATATGGCATTTGGAATTTCTTCCATTATCAGCAAAATATAGGATAATGACTGTTGATTAAAGAGCAGGGGGAAGGTTACGATGTGCAGTATTTTGACATACTTTGGCTATAATGAAATATTATTACTATTATTATTATTATTTGCCTTAGGGCAGAGGCAGTGAGAAAGTGAGAAATCACCCCCACCACACACACATCCCCTGAGGGGATGGCCATCCCACAACCGCTTCTCCTCTTCTCCTCTTAGGGTTTTGTGCACACACATCTACGTACCTGGTATGATTTGCAAGCCGCTGGGTCTGGGACTTGAACCATGGTTAGCCATGTGGAAATCCAGCACCTTACTACCATGCCACCTCCTGGTCCCGGAAGATTCTTTTAATAGGAGTAGGGAGAAAACTACTTTGTACATATGTTATGTATCTATCTGCCTTGGCCTGTGAACTTTGCCGGATTTCATAGACTTCCTGTTTGAAGTGCCTGAGGAGGCTATAACTAAATATTGCAGTAAGTTTATTAAAATGCATAAAGCCAGTCTCTAGTGTTTAGAACAAGTTGCAATTCTTGTTTTTCTAGGCTCTGGGACTTTGGTTTAAAACATTCTTCCTTTCATCACCAGAAACACTGAAACTTGCAAAATACAGACTGTAGTGTAGAAGCAATGTAGTCAGCTCTGAGAGGTTGCTGTCTTTTCAGATTTCTCGGGAGTGAAAGATGGTTTAGTCTAATTTAAGAACTACTGGTAGGAGATACAATTTCATATTTTGAAATGAGCTTCCCACCCCTCCTTTTTTTGTGTGTGTCTGCTTTTTCAGCTACTGGACTTTTGTATACATAAAGGTTTCTGTTCATTAGGCCTTCTTTGGTGCTTAATTCTTGCAACAACGATACAGGCCAGTGCCCTTAAACAGCCATTTCTAAACGATAAGGCATAGACTGTAATAACCATCTGTGTTTATTTTATGGGATGAGAGTTTTTCATGTTTGTTTTATTTTCAGAGTAGTACTTTTACATCATCTTCATATCAGATCATGTAGGAATGATGGCCTGGAGAGGAGATCAAAATGCTATCATTTCAGAGCCACCAGCCTCAGTTACACTCATTTTAGAGAATAGTCTCTTTGATGGTACTTGACTGGAAAGCTGGCAAGTTTCAGTAATCCAACTCTTACTCACTCTGAGCTTTCATGTATTGTGGAGTACCCAAACTTCTATGCCAAGATAGCAAAAGTAACTGAGCTAGATGGTAAATTACTATTTAAAGGCCTTCTCATTTTTCATATTTCCTAGTGGTAATGCAACACAGACTTTTGAATGCAGTATCCTATTGGCAGACTGAAGTGGAAACTTGGATAAATTTTTTGGAGTTGTGCTGCAAATCTTTCCTAGTATAAATTGTTTGCTTTTGCTATTTTCTATTCAAAACCTTAACTATGAGTAGCATGATGACCTTGTGTCTAGAGTGATGCAGCAATGATTGAGAGACCGGTATTAAACCAATTCCTTTAATCGCTTATTCTGATAACATGATTTTGGGGGCATGAATACACCTGAAACAAGAATTCTCTTATTTCTGTAATTCTACTCCAAATTTGATTTGTTCAAGAATTTTACATTTTTTGGGAACCAGCAGTTAGAGTAATGGCTATGTCACTGGACTCCCATGTAGTCGACTGCGGTTTGCGTCCTGGACCCGGTGGGTTAAAAATCACGCCGGGCGTGTGTGCGTGCATGCCCAAGATCCCAAGAGGAGAATGGAGAAGGGATTGCGGCGTGACCATCCCCCCTGGGGGGTGATTTCTCGCTTTCTCTCTGTATGTCTCTCTCTGTCTGGCAAGCGCACGCGCCTTACAGCGAAAAACCTCTCCAAAAAAAAAAAAAAATTTTTTTTTACATTTTTTGACTTTTTGCCTAGAATGCCATAGCAGCTGGAAATCATCAAATTGTTGCTCTGAACATCAGAAATGTCTAGATCTTTTTAACTAGAAAGATGACGCACAAAGGTGATGGGCCTTACTTTTCAGGAACAGTGTGTCAGATGCTGAACATATGTTCCTCATGGCCTAGTACCTTATGGTATAGTTCTTATGAACACAGTCTTTGGTGATATATATACAGTATCATCAATCATGCTAAAACCATTTCCTGAGTATGCAGTATACATATAAGTAAGGGATGGTAAAAGGTTCCACCAAGGTTATTTCTCCCTGAGCAATTGGAATCATTTATACAAGCAACTTCAATTAGCTTATTTTTGAGTTTTATCCAGACGACAGAGAAAAACAGATTTAGTAGTAGCAGATGTGCACAGGCTAAAGTAAAATACTGTTTTGCCTGTAGAGATGAACCCATATAGAAAACAGAGAATAGGACCCTGTAAGCTGAATTAATTCTATTTTCAATTGTAGTAATTTTTTTATTGTCATTTATTTTAAATTTAGAGTCTCAGAGAAATTGGATGTTGGATCTTACCAAACTGTTATATCTCAGAGATCCTCTGTTGCTCAAGCTTGTCTGGGAATTTCATCCAATTTTTATCTGAGGGGGCGTTGAAGGCATTTCAACAAAGCAAACTGAATGATGTGTCAGCCAAAACCTGAAATGTTTGCTTTAGAAGCATTTTTGAATATAATAAACAGCCCATCAAGATAATAAAAGTTATACTAGAAGAACCTTAATTAAAATACATAGTACATTGAGAAAGGATTTTTTTATGGTTCCTTTGAGAAACTTGGAACCATGATAGGTGCTTTGCAAGTCTACAAACATATTGGAAACTCTAGCCAAAGTGTACTCCTAAAGTATATACAGTAATCATGCCCACTAAGAGAGGGGACAAGAGAAGGCAAATATTTGGATGAAAAAATCTAATCCAGTATTGTGTCATATGTTCTTTAAATTCCAAGCATACAATCTATTCTAAGAATAACTGGAGTTCAAGGAGCACAAGACTATTGGGTTTAGCTGGTCCTGTTCCTTAAATCAGGACAACTTCAAATGCATAGGTATTAATAAAGACCTGCATTTTGACAAGAATATTCTTTTTTATTAGGTATTTTATTTTTATTCTCAGCTTACATTAACCAAATATCCTAAATTGGAGAGCATACTAAATTAACTCATAATTGGTGAACATGCTAATTCTGGGGATATACCTACCTACTTGATCCAATGGAATGGAACATGTATGCTTTTTGCATTTTGATATGTTAGTAATCTTTTAGGATGTTTATTTCACCTAGCGTAATTCCAGGCACGCAGGGGCTCCTTATGCCCATGCCTTTACAAACTCTTTGGTTCAGTGGTTCCCAAGCCTTATTGTGAATTTGATTCACCTATGATTCTATAGGAGCTCTATTAATTTATATTCTCAGAAACTGTGGTTTGGATATTCATTTTTTAATTTTTAAAAATTTGCTATAGGGCATGAGAGAGAGAGAGAGAGAGAGAGAGAGAGAAAGCATCCCCTAAGGGGGTGAGCACTCTCCATACACCTCCTCTTCCATTCTCCTCTTGGGAATTTGCACATGTACCCAGTGTACTTTTCAAACTGCCAGATCTGGGACTCGAATTACAGTTGGCCATTTGAGATCTAGGTGTCTTGACCACTACACCAATTGACCTGTATTTGTAGTTTTTAAAGTGGTATAGGTGATTCTGATCAATAGTCAGCCCTAACAAGAACATTGTATCTTTGGGGGGAATTTATTTTTTTATGAAATAGAAAGTTTTGTGTTAGTTGTGTTATAATGTGGGAGTTAGTAAGATGTATCTGATTTCAACTTGTTAGAGTGTATGTATGTGAACACAGACGTCTTTCAAGATAAACGATGCAACATGTATTATGAAGAGCTTTTTCTGTGCCAAGCACTTTACTTGGTGCTAAGGATACGATGATCATGACATGGTCCTTGGATTTGAGGGGCCCTTAATTGAAGCATTCTGATATCTTAAGTACTGGAAACTGTTATAAGTGCTACTGGGAGTGTAAAAGAAGCTATGGCCAGTTTGGGAGCAGGGTACACGTGGCTAAAATTATCTTTGCATGTGGCTCAGAGATGAAAGAATGGTTATATTTTGGAAGAATTGCTTGCAGACAATCGCATTTTCAGTTATCTGAAGTAAGCCTCTCATTTGTTCTGCCTGTAGGTATGGTAACAGCACTAGGAACTATGCTGTCCGGGTTGGGGATTATCATACTCTGGTGCCGGAGGAGTTTGAAGAAGAAATCGGAGTTCAACAGATCGTGATTCACCGTGAGTATAGGCCAGACAGCAGTGACTACGACATCGCCCTGGTTAGATTACAAGGACCGGAAGAGCAATGTGCCAGATTCAGCAGCCACGTTCTGCCAGCCTGCTTACCACTCCGCAGAGAGAGGCCACAGAAAACAGCCTCCAACTGTTACATAACAGGATGGGGAGACACAGGTAAGGTAAATACAAAGGAAGAAATAAGGAGAGCTGGTGCCTTGTGTTTGGGAGTATCCACATGTAAGGCATACAGTAGGCAGCAAGAGCTTACATCCTCAGGCTTAGTTGCTCAAAAACTTGGTTCCAAGTGTGAAATGCATGCACATCACTTGGGTTCATATTCTGAGGTAATGTTGGTTCCATTTAGTATTCACTGAGAACCTAACCACCTGTAGTGTTTAGGGGTAGAGAATCTTCTCATAACTATAGTTTTCTAGACTTTTAAAGGGGGAAATTTTTCTTTTTTAAGAGAGATTTTTGCTATAGGGCTTATGCTCTTGCAGGAGATGGCTATGCCACAATCCTTTCTCCTCCACTCTCCTCTTAGGACTTTGGACCCGCACAGATAAGTGCCTGGCATATTTCAAGCTGCCAGGCTCAGGACTTGAACTGTGTTCAGCCATGTGGGAGTCCAGGGCCTTTACCACTATGCCACCTGCTGGCCCAAGGGGAAATTGAAAAACCCTACATCAAGATTTGGGCCTGTTAGCCTGTATTTTAAAAAGGTTTTCCAGATGCCTTTGATGTAACCAGTTCAGCCAAAGGCTTTGGTGTCTGACAATTTGTTTCTTTCCAATGGAGTCCTTTAAAAACTAAATCTGAATACAGGACAAAAGCAGACCTGCTGAAGTTGAAGTGAAACACACTCATTTCTCCTTCATCTTCCCTTCCCATTTTCCACATCTTACAAACCCTGAGCAAAGTACTGTTGGGCCTCCACATTTGTAGGTTCAACATTTTTTAATTCAAACAAGGATAAAAAATATTACCTTGCTGTTGTGTGCTATGTAGTTAGGTCTATGATGGTTTCACCTGTACAGAACATAGTTTCCCCCTCACTGTTCCCTAAACACTAGCATTCAACATTTACATATATTTATGTTGTGCCAGGTACTCTTATCTAGAGATGACTTAAAGTATATAGGAGGATGTGCGTAGATTTTATGCACATACTATACATGCCATTTTACATAAGAGACTTGAGTCTACAGGTTTTGGTATCCTAGAACCAATCCAAGGATACCAAGGGACACTATATAGCTGATTGCTCTCCATCAAAAATACACTGATTATTATACTCTTGAAAAAGTGTCAAACAAGTAAATTTCTACAGGTGGTAATTTCAGTAAGGTTTTATTTACTAAAACCAGACTTTATACTATTTCACAGCAGCAAGATGTAAAACATCTGTAGCAGATATAGAATATCAACAGCATTGGGAGCTCTATCTGAGATGAACTGAAAGGAAAAAAAAGAGCCAAATATTTCTTGAATGATATAGTAATAAAACTAGGCCAAAGTAAGTGCCTTAGTCTATTATGCTGATCCATGAGGCAAGTCAAGTCTCTGAGACGACTAATTTATTTAGTAGAACTATTACAAGTCCAGCCACCTTCCTTTTGACATCGTATCTGAATTAATATAAATGATAAGGAAGTACATTTTATAGACTGTTACTGCAAACTAATTATTCCAATTTAGTAAATATGATCAAAGAGTAATGGTGGAATTTATAACCAAGAAAAGGATGTCGTGGGGCACTTATAATTCACTTTAGTAAAATACTAAATACTAATACCAGGTGGTGAAATGTACACAAAAAGTATGGGAAACATTGCAATGTTTTATCATCCTTATGTGGGACCTTCAAAATAGCAAGGAAAATGTGTACTATGGAAAAACTATGCATTGATATAAAAATGTTTTTTAGACCAAGATAAAGTTTTAATTCCAATTTTCCACAATTTTGAAGTCCCCTCATTTGGTGTTTCTATCTTATCTGGGAATTACAGCCACCTTATGCATATAGTTGTTATCCCAAGTATAGTTAGGTTGATGAATGCAAAACTATTATGAATGCATTCTCAGCATTTTAAGACTCCAAATACCAAAGCCTGCACAAATGTGCTATCTTGGTTACCTCCCTATATTCAAGTCCATAAACGCTACTCACTGATCTTCATATTCAGTACTGAGATACATATTAAGGGTTATAAGTATGAACATTCAACAAGGCATTATATAGAGTTTTCAACCATTTTAACTACACTAATGCCATGATTGGGTATTTTCAGGACTGTTTAGTGTTCATTGAAACTGTTAAATGTTCTGATTGTTCAGTGGAATCTGACTAATTCAGTTATTTGGTCCAAGTAGGACGGGCTTACTCAAGAACATTGCAACAAGCAGCCATCCCCTTACTTCCCAAGAGGTTCTGTGAAGAGCGTTATAAGGCCCGGTTTACAGGGAGGATGCTCTGTGCTGGAAACCTCCATGAACTCAGACGCGTGGACAGCTGCCAGGGAGACAGTGGAGGACCACTCATGTGCGAAAGACCTGGAGAGAGTTGGGTTGTATATGGGGTGACTTCCTGGGGGTATGGCTGTGGAGCCAAGGATTCTCCTGGTGTTTATACCAAAGTCTCAGCCTTTGTACCTTGGATAAAAAGTGTCACCAAATTGTAATTCATGGAAACCTGAAAATAGTATTTAAAGAAGAAATTGATGGAGAACTTCCCACCTCCACTATTAGTACTAGCCAGAAACTAAAGGGGACTAAGATCTTAACTCTGGTTTTGTTGTGGTAAAAATTGTGTCCTCCTTGCTGCTTTTGAGAATTTGTGATGTGAACATTTTCTGGTTACAGATACCTCAATATCATACTTACTAGTGTTACCTACCAAATTTTAACTGTAGAGACTAAATACTCATTTGAGTCTTATTCTCTTCTGCCCATTCTCAGCATTGAGATTATTTCATAATTAAGGCTGTACATTTATCTGCCTTGGACAGTCCTAACAAATGATACAATATGGTATATGGAATCATTGAATATCCATGACAAAAACACTCCTTACTACATTCAGAATAAAAGTGGCATTTTTTTAATGCAAAGATGTTTTCAAAAGGCTGACAAGTGCTTGTAAAGAAATTTCATTATAAATTTGAGCTGGAATAAGATCCTTGAATTATAAGATCATTTCATTTGCCTATCGTAAACTCACTCCCAAATGAAGTGATTTCATGTTCAAAACTATCCTTATGGAAACCCTGAGAGAAAAATATGGTCTAGCTATCCTGCACAAACTACTAGAACTTGTAATAATTCCTGTAATAAGAATTTCTAGCTGGATATACAATTCATAACTTATCCACCATTTTATTAAATTACCTACTTTGACTACTTTACATTCATATACCATTAAGTAGAATAAGAAATGTAACTCATCCTTAACCTCATGCTCACATTTTGTGGATCACAAGGTAAGAGTGCCACCTACTGCAAATTTCCAATAATTTACTCATACCCGGAAGTTTCAGCTCAAATACAGGTAAAATGTTGCCCCTGTATGTAGTTGTATCTCAAAAGGCACGCACATCAAGATACTCCCAGACAGGGTTAACTTTTATTATCATGGACCCGTCCCCTAAATCCCATCATTTAAATAGTCCTTACCTACCCAAGAGGTAGATGCATAATACTTGAACAGGGCCTTAGTATGAATTTTAGCCAGGTCCTTTATGCATCAAACATTTTTTTTTTTTGGAGGTTTTCGCTATAGGGCGCATGCGCTCACCAGAGACAAATCAAGAAAGCACCCCCCATGGGAGATGGTCTGACCGCAATCCCTTCTCCATTCTCCTCTCAGGATCTTGGGCATGCACACACCTGGCATTTATTTTAAGCCACCGGGTCCGGGATGCGAACTGTGGTTGACTACGTGGGAGTCCAGCAACATAGCCATTAGGCTAACTGCTGGTTCCTGGCATCAAACATCTTTTTTGTAAATCCTGGTGCAAACCTGAAGGTGCTCAGTATTGTATTATTACATGCTACATTGTTAGCTGAAATAGCATTTTTTTAGAAGCTCATGATTTTGATACTAACTTTTTACATTTGCATGTATGATGCATACCTGCATAGAGCTTGGAAAAACATACTGTAGGTGAGCAAATTTCTCTACAGAAACTTTTTAACATGCTGCCCTTGTAAACTACAGTGTTGGTGTAAGCAACATATTTATTGAAGTTTTAAGTAGACCAGGGACTGGCAAACTCCGGGGGAGTAAATAGGCTACCAGCAGTTTGCTCAACCCCAAGGTAGAATACATGGTTCATAAAACAGGTCTTTATTATAGGCAATTTTGTCTTGTGTTTTTAAAAGGTACAAGCACTCAGTGCACATTTGTGTAAATAAAGTGCAGAACTTGTTACTTTGTACAGTTGCCTTAGTATTTTGTGTCATATAGACTGTTCTCAACCTCAGGGATATAACTTGGCAATTTTTATCAACAAATTTTTCTAACACTGTAATAACCTTCCTCTCTCATGCTACTTCATAGGAGCTACAAACAGGAAGTAGGACATATTCTTGTCCATTTTTGTAACCATCTCACCACCTACTAATAATTCAGCCAAGAAACACCAAGTATCTAAAAAAGTAAAGCATTTTATTTAATTGTACTAATGCCATCTTAAGATAGTAACTAAAAAAAGAAAGGCCTATAGTCAAACTAGTGCCCTAAGATTTACGTTTGACGACCCACTGCAGAACGCTGACACTTATCACGTTGGTTTTCTTGATACCTGCAAGAGAAGAATACCAATTATAAAGTCACATCTGTGTACTTACTTCACCATTCTAAAAGCTTAGCAGCTATGTAATTACATTCTATCAGGTGGCTATGGGATTAAGTTACAAATTACTCTGGGACAATTTCCCCAGTATCTTGGCATTAAGGCACTTCAGATCAACTGTGAAATATGAATAAAAAGAGAAAACCTACCTTATGTTTCCATCTCCCATCTGCACAGTTAAGCTCAGCTTCCTAGAAATATTTGAACAACAGTTTAGAAAAGTTTGCCCAGTAATTTGGTACCCACCAGGTTTTTTATCAAGGAAGAATGTTACTTGTGCAAGTCAGAATCTGATACCAATTAAATGGTGACAGCTTTGCCAATAAACAAGAATATGCTCTTCCATGGCTAGGAAGGGAGACTGCCACAGCCGACAGGTCCCAAAGATACATGGAGATTCATAATCCAGAACAGTTCAAGCAAGCAGTTAAGGATACTACTCACCATCTGGATCAAAACGCGACGGTTCTTAGGTGCTGTGGCACTAATTTTGACAGGGTACCCCCAAAATGGCCACACGACACTTAGCAGAAAACATGAGCTTCTTCACATGAACATCAGGTGCACTGAACCCTTCCTTAAAGGCCCACGGCCCGCATAGGCCGGGACTCCGGACCGCACGTGGCCGACCCGTGACCTAACGAACATCTACGTCCACTCTGGCTTGGGTTCCCCACCGCCCACTGCAACAAGAGTCTTGAATCACCTGCATTTTAGTTAAGTCAGTCGGTTTCCACCTAATAATTATGGCACAGAAAATACAACCCTACGCTCAAACCTGATCGCTCAAACCTGATCTTAGCGTTTCCCGGAACGTAAAAGGCCGAGTGCTTCTGCGCATGCTCTCTTATAGAGCTGATGACGCTATTCCGGGAGACGCGCCGCGAAGGGCGGGGCCGTCACGATTTTTCTTTGCCCCGCCCCTTGGGCCCCCTCCTTTCCGCCCTCTTAAGTCTGAACTGGTCCGCAGGCACCGGATGCACGCGCATGCGCACGCAGAAGAGCCTGAGCATTCTCGCGAGATGATAGTTTGCCGCTAGGGGGAGCGGGCTGATTGAAGAGTGCGGAGAGGGAGTGCGGTCTCCCGTTTACTTCATGTTCGCTGTTCTAGAAGTCACCGTTGTTACCGAAACACCAGTTTCGACAGTCTTTGGCTTAACTTTGGTAGGTTATTTTGTGTGAAACTGTCTGGTTGCGTCTCTGTGCTAACGAACTATCCGTGACCTTCATCTTCCCTGGAATCGTTCCTGAAGCGTCTTGTTGTCTGTCTGTGTAGTCTACTCTCTTAGGAATGTTTGCAGTCAATTTTGATATCCTCGCCAAACGATTTTGTAAAAAGATGAGCAAAAGGAAAAGCTATTAGGCCCGCACAGCGTTCGCGAACCGCGTTCAGGTGCGGCGTATCGCGGTCTTACTGAGCTTGAAGCCTACAGCTGTGAACTCTGGACTCCGACGGCTCCCCGCGGCGGAACGCCTGATGGATTTTAAGCTTCTGCAGTACCTTTCTTTGATGCTGCCCCTGGACAAATGTTGGAGCCACCGCCACTGTAAAATGAACTTCCAACGTTCAGGAATACATTTAGACGTGTGCTTATTAAAAAATAATAATAAAGGTGTTTTCTGTTTTCCTCCTTATGAAACAAAAAAAGAGGACCCTTCTGAAGCATTGGCTTAGTGCTGGACAATCTGGAGAAATACGTTGTGGCAATTTTTGTCAGGGAAAATGATATCAAGATGTCGGGCGAATAAGTGCTACAGTAAAGCCATAGAAACTGGGTGAAGTCACGACGTACTCTTTGGAAAAAAGTTTTGAGTATAAATTTCTGTTGTCTTTAGGGTTGAAATGGATAAGCTTATAGAAGATAAAACTTAATTTGTAAGAACTGCAGCTTTTTCTAAGGCTCTTCATATTTCTCCTAATATTACTTTCAAACCTCACTTAACCTCATCTCAGTAATGAATCCAAAGAACTATTCAGTAACAAGGCTTAAATTTGGAGTCGCAGTAGGGATTTTTTGCAAATTAAATTTACTGAGAACCTCCAAATAACCATCTTTATTAGTTTGCTAGAGTTCTCTTAATGAAATACCACAGACTGGGAGCTTAAACATAGAAACTTGTTTGTCACAGTTTTTGTCACAGTTTTGCATAACTTGAAATATGAGATGAAGACAGCAAATAGAGGCCTCTGGCCCTGGCATATAGAGGGCAGTCTTCTGTCTGAATTTCATTTCCTTTTGTATCTGTGTGCCAGTCATCTGTCCTTGAAAGAACAACAGTCATATTTGAGTAGAGCCCACACAAATGACTTTATCCTGAATTACCTCTTTAAAAACTCTAAGTACAGTCACATTCTAAAGTACAGGAGATGAGTTGTTCTTTTTCATTTTTTAAAATTAATTAATTTAATTTTTTTGCCGTAGGGCTCATATACCAGCTAGAGAGAGACAGAGAGGAAAAGTGTGAAATACACCCCACTTCCTGGAGATGGCCATGCCCTAATCCTCTCTCCATTCTCCCCTTGTGACAGGCATGTGCATGCATGTTTTCAAGCCACAGGTCGGGGGCTTGAACTGTAGAGTTGTCCATGTGGGATCTAGTGCCTTAACTACCATGCCACTTGCTGACCCTGAGGGTTAGGATCTTAACATAAATTTTGGGGGGGCACAGTTCAGCCCACAACACCTTTTATGCTAAGCTTAGAGTCCTGAAAACTTTAAATGAGTGTTTCTATTAGGTTGGGGGGTCTAGAACACCAGTTTTGGGGGAAGGGGTGGGGACAAGTATTTATGAAGTGTCTATTATAAGCTCCCTTTGGTGAAGCACTTTGTCTTTTATTTGAAGTGTCTAGCAGAATAACTTGCATTAAATGAGCACTCAATTCATCATTATCAAACACCTTGAGGTAATCAATATTACTGAAATTTCAAATGTTTTATATTTATTTAAGAAGTTATTTCTAAGAGAGGAATTATAATCCTTTTTCCTCATCTCAATTCTAGCTTTGGTGTGGGCTATGGTTGGTAACTTGCTTTCAAAGAATAGTGGAAAGAAAAGGGGAAAATGCATAATGATACAATGAAGAAAAGTGGCAAACACTACCTAGTCCAGGTAATCACCATCAACATCGTGATGTCATTTTAATAGTATGTACTCTGACATGATAAAGGACACTTTACCTCTGTCTTATTCCTCAAAACCCATTCTCAGCCAACCATGAGAAAATAATTTAATAAAATCAAATTGAGGTTAAAAAAAATTGTAGATTTCAAAATGTTGCACCAAAATTAACTTGTATTTTAATTGCAAACAATCAAATTGATAGGCATTTTACAAATTAACAAGTACTCAAAACTGTCTTGATCACAGTAAAGAAGAAATATCAGAAACACACTCCAGAGAAGATGGTAATATGTAATGACTAAATGTAAGTGGTATTCTGCTGGGATCTTTGAGCAGAAGAAGGGAATTAATGGAAAACTAGTGAATCTGAATGAAGCGTGGGTTCTGATCATAGTGATTTGCCAATGTTGTTTTCTTAGTTAATAACAGATGTATCATGGTATTGTAAGGTATTAACAGTAGGGGAAATTGAATAAGGGTGTGTGGAAACTATCATTTTTGTAACTTTTCTGTAAATCTCAAGCTTTTGAAATAAAAGTATAATTTAAAAAACAATTATAATTTTATGTCTTTGTTTTAAACCAAGTGGAACTTTAGCTATGGCTTCTGTCTACTGTTACTGCGAGAGTTTTGGTCATGACAATAATTCCAGATTTGGGGATGGGGTTTGAAATAAAATTCAATGAATTTGGTCAGTATTCAAGCCCAGTTCTTGAGTCTTAGAATACTCAGGGGAGATAATGTAGTAATAGAATAATTAATAATTGATTGTAAATAAAAGTTGGTTTAAGGGTTTTAGAATGCAAGGTGAAGCTGTTAAAACTGATAAAACCATAGCTGGGAAATACCTCACTCTGCATTTGGTATATTCAAGATGTGGGCTGCACAGGTGATTGCAGAATATTCATTATTCAACTATGTTCCTTATTTCCTTTCTAGTTGCTTAAATATTAACACTGATAATCATCAAAGAAGTAACTGCACATCTTTCATATGAATGATGAAATAAATGGGAGAAAATGTAGTCAAGAAATAGCTGGTAGGCTTATTTTCATCTTAAAAAACACTCAAGGAACCTGAACTTGTCCATCAGCATATATTAGCAATGAAGTCCTGCTCTTAAGAAAATTAGTTTTTGCTGTAATAATAGAAAGTATAGTGTACAGAAGAGAGGAGATGAGCGTTCTCCTTATCTATATTGGAATATTGTAGTTCTGAATACTTTGTTCAGTTGTTAAACATTTACTAGACTCCAGCAAATGTTTCCTGAGTAGACACCCCTAGCTTCAAGGGTTTAAAGTAGAATTTATTACTTATCTTTTGTGACACCACAATTTTTGCAAATTATTTAAAAATCAGATTAGTTTTACTTTTCCCCTATTCTCTACTTTTAATATTTAGTTTACTTTTTGTATCAGAGTATTAGTTACCAGTCTTGTGTATCAACCTAGTCTTAAACATAGTGGCTTAGAACAATAAACCTTATTTCTCATAATTTCTGTGGGTCAGAAATCCAAGAGCAGCTTCACAGGTTTGATTTATTTCATGAGCTTGCAGGCAGGACATTGACAGGGGCTACAGTTATTTGAAGCCTTGACTGGAACTAGGACTGGAGAATCTTTTTTTCAAGGTGGCTCATTCACAAGCTTGACAAGTTAATGCTAACATGTGGCTTGCTTTTTCTTTAAGGCTGCTTGAGTATCCTTATGCTGTATCTCCCTGGAGTGAAGGATCCATCAGAGGAAGTCTCCATGCTTTTTATGACCTAATTAGTGAAATTACAGACCTTGACTTGTTAGAAGCAAGTTATTTATTCTAGCTCACACTCAAGGGAAGGGAAATGAAGCTCACACTCTTAAAAGGGGGTATAAATATTTGCTGACATACTTAAAAACTGCCAAAGTAGGGATGGAGAGGTTGTGTTGCAGTTGCAGACAATCAGAGATATGAGTGGCTTAAAACAACAAAGGTTTGTTTCTTATGTTCATACTCATTTTAGAGGCCTAGGCTAATGAGATCTTCATTTATTTCCAGGCAACAGGAAAAAAGAAGGGAAGGTAGAGAATCAAACCTTTGTTCTTAAAGGCTCCCATTCTCAAATGACTTGACTTCATTGACTCATTTCATGGACCAAAGCAAACATGCATGGCCACATCTAACTTTGAAGGGGTCTGGAAGTGGAATCTTATATGTGTGCTTACAAGAGAAGAATCAGAAATGTCTATGAATATATATATATATCATTAGCGCTAATGATTTCTATCATTGCCACATTGTAATCTTTTTATATTATTTTTACATTTACCATTTCTCTGTTATACTCCTAACCTAAGATGTGAGCAGTCTCCTTAGGTTTCTAATTTCTCCTGCCAATCCACTGAGTATATTCCTGAAAGATTAAAGTACCTGAAATACTAGTTTTTCCATGTTAGTCACTTGTTATAGAAAGTATAATAGCTTTCCCACTGATTATCAGGTAAATTCCTCATCCCTAGTCAACATAACATCTGTATTATACTCAGCATGCTCATTCCTATTATTCATGCCATTTCATAAATTAATATATTTTACATTCTTCCCATTTTTAAAGACATCTCAATTTTTATCAATTATTTTTATGAACATTGGTGACTATGTGGAGTCTTCCCATTTTCTGCTATCTATAATACTCATTTTTTTGTAATTTATATTTAAAAAGACCT